TATTATATTTTTAACAATTTATTTCGACTACATTGTCACAGCCATTTAAAGCAGAGACCAAACAAATCTTTTTGATCAGCATGATAGTTCCATCTTACTCTCTATAACATTTTCTTCCCCCAGGAACTTCTCATTGAAGTTGACGTTTTTCAGCAGACTGTTCTCGGACAGAGCTTTCTGTGCAGCCTCTGGTTTGCTTTGAACCAATCTGAAAGAGCAAAACATAAACACGCTTTAAGGGGGAAACAAAGACGGCATTCTCACAAAAGCGGAGACATCTGTAATCAGAACTATAAACCATCACTTTAAATGATTTTGAAAAAATGTATAGAACTCATCCACATGCATCAAATATTACACAAATATTGCTTAGTGGACAACTGCTATCAGTCAAATTTTGTTGTATAGTCAATATTCAGAAATCACACTGTCTCATAGAGCTAGGTGCGACATCCTCTGCCCTTTACCCTCTGCAAGAGTAAAGAAATACAACCAAATAAAAACCCTATTTGTGGTACAGAGCTTTCTAGTCTTGATGATCACTTGAAGCACTTTACAGTACAGTTTTTTCCATTCACCCATTCACACAGACATTCATACAGTGCATCTATGTGCAGCACTTTCTCTAAGAGAAGGGGCAATTTAGGGGTTTAGTATCTTGTCCAAGGCATGCGGAATGGGGAAGACTGGGATTGAACACAGAGAGGGACGTGTATGTGAGGGATCCCTCTCCCATGACAGACAGTAGTACAAGAGATGCTGCATGTAGCGCAACACATCAACAAGGTGTGTGGTTGCTATGTGGAAAGCCCTAGAGGAAATGACCTGGATTTCATACTACTGATTTTAATGTCAGAGAAAACAGAAAGGTTTTACACAGTAATAAAGTTGATTTTCACTGAAAGTCTTACAAGAGGAAGTGTGATTTAATGAAAGAATGTGTGGATGTGGATTCAAAAGAAAACAGCAAAATGAAAATTCACTCATCTAATTTTCATTTTTCAGTGAAGTATACCTTTAAGATCTTGACTAGCAGCAATTCACATTATGAAGAAACTGAAAATTATCACCATCACCCCGTTCAGACCTGATATTAAGATCTAAGCGTTTTCTGAGTATAGCAGGTTCTTTTCACCTTCATTTGTTTGTATTGTCATATTACTGCTTTTATGTGTTTATCATGTTTTAATGTGACAGAGCTCTTTATTTATTCATTTAATTTGAACACTACCTTGTTTGTGACCCCCTAAACCTAGTTCTCTGGTCTCCTTGTCATTGCATTGGCTGCACAGATTTTAATCCTGACCCGTGTCTGCAACTTTTGCCTTTAGGCAGGCTGATTGGGAGGATAGGTTTTCAAGGCCTTTACAGATGGTGCAGTATCTGCAGCCACTCTCTAAACCTAACAACATTGGGCCTCAATCACCAAATCTTCTATTTGTTCTTTAGAGGTTTTCTCAGAAAACTGTATGTCAGACTCATGACACATTCTTGAACTGCAGAATTGTTCACATCTATGTTCTTATATTGATGAATGTCATGTGTTCGTAAGTTGAAAGTACGTGACAGTTTTTCCTATTTAGCATAGGTGAACACCCCGCCCATAAAAGGGCATGAGACTACTGTGCCATGTGCACACAGAAATCATAGAAATTAAAAAGAACATTTAAGAAGCCAGGAGTGATTAATTTGATAATCTAAAGACAGCACTGCACCGAACTCAAATCATAAAAAAGTTGTTATATTTTGTAGTGTCAGCAGTGAACATAAAATACCACAAAAAACAATACATGGAATTAGGCTTGTTCGGTATACCGGGGTACTGATGCATTTAAAATGGAACTATACAGCGCTTGGATAAGACCATTACTTTTTTTTTTTTTTAATGTCACCGCATTGTAATTTGAGCCGAAGCGAGCAAGCTGGGGCAAGCAGGCGAGCGAGTGAGTAGCGTGAAGCAAACGGAGCAGGAGTCTGGCGACAGAGAGAGATAAAGGAGAGAGAGAGAGAGAGAGAGAGAGAGAATGGCAGCTGTTGCAACCATCACCACGCCGCAACTCATAGATAAACCAGGTGCTCGAAGTGCTATATGGAATTACTTCAGCTTGAAAACAAATGAGCACGGTGAAGCCATTAACACCGATGCACTACTGTGCAAACGGTGTTACAAAACATTTGTTGTCAAGGGTGGAAACACTTCCAACTTAGCAAAACACTTGAAGGACAAGCACCCAGACCTGTACAAGGAGTTCAGAGAACGACAGGTAATAACTTATATACCCATGAAAAAAAAGCCACATTCAGTGCTAAAAGCAAGCAACGCCAGCCCCCTTCACTCTCCACAAAATGGCTCTGGATAAAAATTTAAGCTGCGTTGCAATTACCACTTTCTCTGGTTTAAA